CCAGAAAACTGAAAAGTAGTGAAAGTGACCCTGCTGGTCTCCAGAATACCCGATGTACGAAGAATCCTCTAACACTTGTGCAAGAAACCCTGGGCATCTTCGCCCTCTGCACCACTGAAAGTCGGAGGCTAAAGTCTACCAAACCTCTCCAGCCTGCGTTGCTCGTCCTCTGGCATGGCAGGAGCTACATAGTCCTAAGCAGCTGTAACCGGCTGGGCTGGATGTGCCCTCGGTGTCTGAAGTCCCTGCACGACCTTCTCAGGTGTACGAGCGGCGGGAGTCTGAGTGCCTCCCCTGGCTTGAGAAGTAACTGCGGCTGTAGTAACTGAGACCGCCTAAGCTAGGCCAGTGCATACTGATAGAATCTGAGCCAGGGCCTCCTGAAGATCCGGAATCACAATGGGCACAGCTGGTGCTGCTGGAGCGTCCACAACTAGGACCTGATCCTGAACTAGGGCGGCTGGTGGATCTGTAGGTGCTGCCCTAACTGCTATGCGGGCCACACTCCTGCCCCTACCACAGCCTCGACCGCATCCTCGGCCTCTAGTGGCCACAACTGGTGGTATTGGTGGTCGTCCATCCTGACCGGTAGCGCGTGTCCTCACCATTTGTAAGAGAATAGAATAACAGAAGTTTAGTACTCAAATCAGCAGATTTGCACGACAAGAATTTCAAGAATATGAAGTTTTTCCTAAAGGTTCTGCAGCCTATCGAGGATATATAAAGACGTCTCCGTACCGATCCGCGAGACTTTACTAAACCTGCTTATGACTCGTGAGACCTATGTAACTTGGCTCTGATACCAACTTGTCACAGCCCTAAAACTGTACTCGGTCGTGATGACGCCTATCGTAAAACAAGGCCAGCCGACACAACACCCAATTCAATTTAAAGAATTATAATAACCGAATTTAAGTCGTTAACATGGTAATAATCCCAAAATAAAAGTGAACAAGTTCAATTTGGGGAAACTCAACACAGCCCGACATCGGGGTGTCACCAGTCATGAACATCTAACATAGGTCTAAGAGTATGAAAGAGTTTATACCGTCTATTACAGAACTAGAACAAGGGAAATAAAATAGGAGGGATAAACACTGGGCTGCGAACGTCGGGCAACTACCTAGTGGACTCCGAATAGCCTGTTGGGAGCAATCAACCCTCACTGGCGGGACCCGAAGTTCCTAAATATGCACACATGGTGCAGGAACTAAAGTGAGTACTCCAACTCAGTGAGTAATAAAAATAAATGAATATTGAGCGATAAGAAAATACGTACAACACTGTTGCGGCGTGCAACCCGATCCCATAATAATCCTCACAACACAGGCCCTCGACCCTACTCAGTCAGAAATCTCAAAAAGCCACTCGAGCATAGTAAAATATGATGCTCAACCCAAAATATCATTTAAAGTGTTAAAAACAGAGTAAATGTTGCCGAGTTATGAAAACAATAGAATATAGCATGACTGAGTACAGATATAAAATAAAAACAGTGAGGAAATAGCAGTAAAAATCCCCTAAAAGTCCAAATAGTTGGCACGAGGCCCAAATATTGCATTCAGCCCAAAACATGATGATAGCAAACATTTTTCAATCAAATACGCAGTAAAACATTCATACGGGATAGACTAAGTCACAATCCCCAACTATGCACGACCTCGTGCTCCTCATCTAGCGTGTGCATCACCTCAATATAGCATATCGATGTGAAATCTGAGGTTTCATACCCTCAGGACAATATTTACAATCATTACTCACCTCTATCTGGTCCAAACTCTAGACCGCGATGCCCTTGCCTCTCGAATCGGCCTCCGGATGCTCCAAATCTAACCAAAATATCAGTGCAAAACCACCAAAATATACTAAGGGAACAAAGCCCACTCGAAAGAAATCAAATTACAACACAAATTCCGAAATTGGCCAAATCCAATCCCCGGGCCCACGTCTCGAAATCTAATTAAAATTACATCAATAGAATCCTTATCACTCTCCGAGTTCATTCATATCAAAAGCACCAAAATCCAACCACAAACGACCTCTCAAATCCCAAATTCTAGGTCTCCACTTACAAGCCCTAGTTCTTCAATATTTATGATTAGATTCTACAAATTCCATGATTAATTAAGTAGAAATCACATTAAGATTGACTATTCAGTCTATAAATCTTACCTCCAAGTGTTCCCCTTTGATTCTCTCTTCAAAAAGTTTCAAAATCGCCCAAAATAGAGAAACTTAGGCTAAAAATCACGGAATAAGCCTTTTAAACCATTCTGCCCAGCTATTCAAAAACTTCCTTCGCAAATGCGGTCAACACCTCGCGTTCGCGAAGCACGAACTTAAGTTGACCAGAATTCCTCTTACGCGAACGCGACTATCCCCTCGCGAACGGGATGCCTCAGCAACTCAAACCATCGCGAACGCTTCTGCTCTCTCGCGAACGCGATGCTTCCTGACTAAACCCTTCACGAATGCAGGACCTCCCTCGCGAACACGAAGGCAAAATATACAGCCTCTCGTCCTAACCCTTTGCGAACACTAGGGTCCACCTGAAAACGCGAAGAACAACTGTCTGCAACACTCACAACAGATTTTTGCAACTTTTTCTCAACTTGAAATGATCCGTTTAACCACCCGAAACTCACTCGAGGCCCTCGGGACCTCAACCAAACATGCCAACATATCCCACAACATTATCCAAACTTGTTCCAACATTAGGAATGTTCAAAACAATATCAAAACACCAAATTTGCATCGGATTCAAGGCTAAGAATTCCAAAATCTTCCAAATTCCGCTTTTGATCAAAAAGTCTATCAAACCATGTCCGAAAGACCTAAAGTTTTGCAGACACATCCCAAATGACACAACGGACCTACTGCAACTTCCGAAATTTCATTTCAACTCCTATATCAAAATCTCACCTATCAACTGGAAAACGCCAAAATTCCAATTTTGCCAATTCAAGCCTAAATCTACTCCATACCTCCAAAACACATTCTGATCACATTCCTAAGTCCCAAATCACCTCCAAAAGCTATCCAAACCATTGAAACTCACACATGAGCCCTTTAATACATAAGTCAACATCCAGTTGACTTTTCTAACTTAAGCTTACTCAAAAGAGATTAAGTGTCTCAAATCTTACCAAAACCTCTCCAAAACCGAGCCAACCAACCCGATAACACAAAATATAGCTGAACAAGGCAATAAGAAGCAGAAATGGGAAAAACGGAGCGGTATCTCATGAAACGACCGCCGGGTTGTTCAAGATGCTGGAACATCTTCATGCCTATTTTCCATTCGAATTTCATCATTTGCATAGGCTTCAAAGTGATCCTTTTTCAATCGACTCTTATGTTTTCTCTAAGCAGCTTGAACTGTGGCTAAATTCCACTTTTTTGCTCCATTATGAATGTCATACTTCTCCTACAATTTGATAGAAATATATTAATGCAGAAAAAGTGAATATTTTCGACCAAAAATTAAAATTTGACAACTTCGTACCTTGGTATATGCCCACATATCCTCTTTTATGTCCATTTTCCTCCAATCACATTTATTAAGAGGACAAAGGGTCGCATTCCTTGCCAATGTGCCAAGGAAGCTTCCCAACTCATTTACAACCGCTTTACTAGGACCAATAGGTTGATTGTGCTTATTTAGTACAATTAATTTATGCTCACGTCTCCCATGTATGCTTGTATATTTTTTTATAGAAAGGCCTACAATGAAAAGAATCAATGATAACCGTTATCATATTGTTGATCGATTTTATTATTTGAAAATATAGGATGTCAAATTATATATATATTCCTTGTTCTTCACATTATTCATTTGCTGGAGGAGTGGTAGAATCTAGTCACACTTGTTCCTCCTCAAGAGTGGTAGAATCACTTTGTATCCCTTGTTCAGCTTGTGTTAGTAGCCGTTGTTCTTCATTCAAACTTAGTTGATGCTCTTCATTTAACCATCTAGCTGGAGCAGATTTTCTTTGGTTCAACAACTTTTTTGGTCTACCAACTATGCAAGTGTCCCAGGTTTAACATATGTCGAGTTTTTTGCGCCTTTTTTGGTCTTGAAGGTCCTTGACTCATGGCTATACAAATTTGTGTCAAGTTAAGAACCTGCCAAACAGGGAAAAAATAGGTCTTTAGGATCAGGTACGATCATATAATCACTGAAAATAATGAATTTTTTACTTACACCTACATAAGGTTACAATAAAATTATCTGTTAGACAACCTCCATAGCACAAGTTTGTAATTCTGGAGAAGCTTACAAAATCATTCTGTTAAGCAATGAATTTAATTATACACATCCACAAGATTATATTGAACCAATGTCATCATCAAACTCCCTCCAAAATGTATCTTCAATATTAGGTCAATTCTCTTCCTCTGAATCATATAAATCAATAAAGTAATAAACATCTTTCTCAATTGGATCCTCTACATAAAAACTTGATAAACTTGTGATGTCAGTACAAAAGTATCACCAGTACTACACAATCTATTGAAATATATCAGTGTTAATCCATATTCATCTATTTCATTGTGAAACCAATCTCATTTAAACAGTACAATACTAAAACAATCCTAATAATCAATTTCAATAATATCCTGAATAACTCCATAATAGATAACCTCTCTATCAATTGGATTTTGGTCGCTAGCACTAGCAAAACTATCAGTCGTTGCTGACAAAGTAAGTCCACTATTTTGAGTCTTGCAACAAGTATCTCGCTTCAACGTATGAAATTGATATCCATTGATGAAATATGCAGTATATCTTTTGGCAACCATATTAGGCCCTCTAGCTAGCCATCACAGATGATTGGACACTTCAATGCTTTTAACTTTCTCTTTAAACCATTCAGCAATTCACGACTATGATTCCTTGCTCTTAACCATGCATTTTATCTAGTACGACTATAAATTAAATTCTTATATTCCTTGCATGAAGAATGATCAAATTCAGTCATTAGGACTTTATGAATGACTTTTAAAATATCTTATCATATAAATAAATAAAGCTTACAATATAATTGATATATATTTTATCTTATTTGATAAAAGTCTCGACTTGTTCATCTCCAAAATTGAACAGAATATATCGATGTGCTTCAATGCATAACTGTAAATCTATGGAAAACGTATTTCTTTTCTTTTTCTTCTCAATTCCGATTGGATGACCTATCTTAGGTAATATTGGTGACAGATCATCCCCTTTGTTTGAACATTCTTATCGTCCTCAACTTGATACCTACTGAATCTTGTCTTTACCCCATCATGTAAGTATCTCGAACAAAAGATCAAGCACTCTTCCGCTAGAACTCCCTCTGCTATTGAAGCTTCTGGATGAGCTCGATTACAAACAAATGCCTTGTACTTATATAGGTTTCTCTTAATGGAATACATCCAACGCAAATGATTTGGACCCCCCAACTTAATATCATCTACTAGATGGATAGACAAATTCTCCATTATATCAAAAAAAGTTGGAAGAAAAATCTTTTCAAGCTCACATTCAATCTCTTTGATTTCTGATTGCATTGCATCAAGATCTCTTCTCCTTATAAACTTACTACATATGACTCTGAAGAAGTTCCCCAACCTAATCAAGTCCAAAGAAACATTCATAGGTAACACTTTTCTAACTGCAACTTGGAGCAAGTTAGGTAACACTTTTCTAACTGCAACTTGGAGCAAGTAATGCATTATAAAATGAGCGTCATGACTCTTGTATCCTGATACTTTCATCTCTTCCATTTGCACACGTAGTGATATGTTTGAGTCACACCCTTTCCGTAATTTGGCATCACTTAAGACAATGCAAAATATCTTTTTTTCTTCTTCAGGTTTCATGGAGAAACAAGCTTTAGCCAAATAAACTTTTTCATTTCCATTATCTTTTGTTAGCTGAAGCTCCTTTCGTATCCCCATCTCTTGCAAGTCATAACGAGAAATAACATGATCCTTTGGCTTTCCATCTATATCCAATAAAGTCCCAAGCGGATTATCACATATATTTTTTTTGACATGCATAATGTCAAGAATGTGCCTCAATTTGTTATGTGCCCAATATGGTAATTCAAAAAGGATGGATCTTTTCTTCCACGGACTCTCATTACCTCGACGCCTTTTCTTTTGGCCCTTTTCAAAAATATTATTAAAATCACGCACCTTTTCAAACACTTCTATTCATGACAAGGGAGTGGGCATATGTCTATGATCCTCCTTACCATCAAATGATTTCCTGTCTCTTCGAAATGGATGATCAAGAGGAAAAAATGTCCGATGACTCATGCAACACATCTTATGACTATGCTTGAGATATTGAGAGCATATGTTATAATTACAAGTGGGGCATGCCCATCTCCCCTTGGTGCTCCATTCGGAAAGCATTGCTAGTGCTGCAAAATCACTAACTGTCCAAAATAAGGCTGCCTTCATCGTGAATGTTTAGTTATTATCAGCATCATATGTTTCTACACCAAATTCCCATAGTTCCTTCAATTCAGCAATTAGTGGTTGTAAGTACACATCTTTGTCATTTTCGGGAGATGATGGACCTGGAATGATCATTGACAACATTAATATACTCTGGCTTCATGCAAATCTATGACAATAAATTATAGTTCATTAACATACAATCCATGTACTATGAGAAATGTTCATGGTTCTAAATGGGTTGAAACCATCACTTGAAAGACCCAATATAACATTACGAGGATCTCTCGAGAAGCTTGGGTGCATGGAATCAAGATCCTTTCATGCTTCTCCAACATCAGGATGTCTTAAATTTCCATTATTCGATCGTTCAGTAGCAGGCATTTCATAGCTACAGATGTTTCAGGACACATAACTATTCTTTGAAGCCTAGGCTTTAAGGGAAAGTACCTTAAAGCCTTAGATGAGACTTTGGAGCTTGCATTATTCAAACCATACCAACATTCTTCCATCTAGAAAACCCACACAAAGTGCAATTAATCACACCCACACAGAGCACCAGTGACCTAAGTCATCTCATTATACCTAGCTATTGATAGCACCAGGGTTTTGAATCATACAGTAAATCCATTCTCTTCTCAAAGCATAGTTTGTACATACAACATATTAACAAAACTTAACAACTTAATCATCACATTATAAAATTAGGTCAACTAAGCATCAAAGAAGGCAGATTTAAATTTAACATGTAATCCAATAACAGAAACTTCGAAAACTCCCCTAGACAAGTTATCAACTTGAGGATCCCGTAATCAATGATCAAGAAAAAAGATTAACAACCAGATCAAGTTAAATTCATAAACTGTGATTACTGATTCATAGCACCATTTTTATCAACTTATGACAAAATTAATCACAAAAACCAAGAATTTTGCTAATATTATAAGTAGCGGAAAGTGGAAGCAAAATTTCAGAAAGATACCTAGAAAGTGAATAAATTGAATTTCTGACAGTGCACAAACACAGTTTAAGAGACTATTCAAATATAACTTATAATTACTTTTCAATTCTCATTATTCACCCATTAAGGCTAAAGATGAAACACAAACACAATTCAAGAGACTATTCAAAGAGGCCACTTATGATTATAATTAAATTAAAAAATTACAAATTGAAAAACTAGTGATGGATAGAAGCTTCTGGAATAAATAAAAGAAGTAATCAAATTGTAATTTTTTACCCAAATCATGAGATTAAATGAAACCTTACTGTTCAAGGTATGTAATAGCGAATAAATAAGAATATACCTCCAATGTTCTATGAAGGAATTGTCTTCAAACAAAAAAGCCACAACTAAATATAGAAAATGCAGAAACACACCTCACACCTATAGGTCGGAGCAAATCAATTAAGAATCCAAACCATACACTCCAACTCGCCAAAAATAAAAAATACAAAATAAATATGGGAGTAGTCTTCCATAACTTAAAGCTTAAAACTTTCAATAGAAATATACCAGCAACGAGATTCAAGAAAAATTATCACACCCATGAGAAATATTTACCCACATCGAATAGCAGCCCAAAATTAAAAATAAAAAAATAGACCCATATTTCTACTTATTTTCATTTTAAATCTTCAACAAGACTATCCATAAAATTAAAGCAAAATGCAAGAAATCAGTAACCAAGATTTAATTTTTAGATTTTTTTTAGGGCTTAAAGAATGAAATTGTACGACAATCACATTTGAAGGTGAGGAGAAAGAAGTAGAAAGAGCAAAAAATAAAAAAATTATGACCTACCAGAAGGGGAAACCTGCAAAATAAACCTTCACACCGGCCAGAGTTGTATGGGATTTTTCAGTGGGTTCTCTAGTTAGAGCTTCGCTAGCTGAATTAAGGATATGAGACCAAAATGAAATAGTGGTTTTAGTCGATGTAGTGGGCTCACATATTATTTTAGGATTTTAAAAAATAATAAAAATAAGAGATGTGGCGGGTTCATTAAATTGAGGAGGGAAAATTAGAAGCGTCCCAATAGCTTTTTTTTCCAGATAACCATCACCATAGAGGAAACTACTGTGACAAATACGACAAGCGTTATAGTAGGGAATACTATTGCGACAAGTTATATCTCTATTGTGACGATTCATTATTGTATTTGTTCCAGCATCACTGGGATGATTATGGAACGGTTTTAATTGTCGCCATAGATATCTAATGTAACGGTTTATAACCGTTGCCAGTTAACCGTCCCAACATGACAAATTTCTAGTAGTGTGATTGAGTAAATGCGATGTATATCATGCTAGCTATCCTGTTAGGGCTTCACGCCGATACTGTTGAGACCCAAGTAATCGTTTCTTGCTGTCATTTCATTTGATTAATTGATATTCTATACTCAGTCTTATTCATGCATATCATATCATGTCTTAGTCTCAGTTGTTATTATTTAGCACATCATATGATTGTTTCGGGCTAGTTTCATGGTATTGTGAGCCCGTGTGTGTGAGACTGGAGAGTGATGACTGAATGAGGCCGAGAGCCTGATTATGAGTGATAATTATGGGATCGGGCTGCATGCTGTAGTGGTTATGTTGATGGTTATGATGGCGTTTGGGCTGTAGGAGCCCCTCCGGAGTCTGTAACACACCCCCATTGAGCGCAAATGATATTTTGAGGGATGGATTTCCCTGGACATGGATTTGTTCGATGAATTGATGTCTAGAGATGGGTTTCTCCACAGGGTTGGATTACCCTTTACCTCGGTACCGAGTGACTTGTTGTCAGCGATGAGTATGTTCTGGGATGGATTTCCCTATCGGATGGCCATATGCGGTACCGAGTGGTTGAGTGTATATGTATACATACCTATAGATAGATTTCTCTTCAGGGTTGGATTACCCTTATTCCTCGGTATTGGTTGACTTGTAGTCAGTGTCGTATATATTTCGGGATGGATTTCCCTAGGCCAGATGGCCATATGCAGTACCGAGTGGTTGAGCACTTGAGAGTGGGTGCACATGGTGCATTTCATACATTCTGTGCATTGGCATGTAGAGTTAGCTGAGCTTTATATTCCACATCGTCCATATCTGTATTTATCTTACTGCTCGAGCTGTATTCTTGAATTGATAGCATGCCTAATTTTTGACAGTCTATTTCTATTTCCTGCTGAGGTTATGTTCGTCACTACCTATCAGTCCATAGGTTGGACTTGTTACTTACTGAGTTGGTATACTCACGTTACCCCCTGCACCTTGTGTGCAAATCCAGGTACCTTCGGTCCTAGTGGTAGTCATTGATCGAGGTTGCAGGCTTTGGAGATTGTTGAGGTATTTGCACGACGTTCGCAAACCTTAACCCTCTTTCTCTATTCTAGTTGTGTTTCAGTAAACATTGTGGTAGACTCTGCTATTTTTCTAGACGCTCTGGTTTTGGGCTGGTTGTGTCGTATTATGAATTTTGTCTTATGTTCTAAACAATTTATTTAAACAACAAAAGTGTTTTTCGCAAGTGTTTTAAATTCTAGTATTATTTTTTGGATTACATTGAGTCGAGTTTGGCCTAGTTCCACTATAGGCGCCATTGCGACGGGTTGAGTTTTGGATCGTGACAAGTTGGTATCAGAGCTTAGGTTACATAAGTCTCACGAGTCATGAGCGAATTTAGTAGAGTCTTGCGGATCGGTACGGAGACGTATGTATTTATCTTCGAGAGGCTGCAAAACTTTTAAGAAACTTCACATTCTTGAATTCTTGTCGTGTAAATCTGTTGATACGGGAAACTAAACTTGTGTTATTCTATTCTCACACAGATGGTGAGGACACGTACTACCAGTCAGGACTGGCAGCTGCCAGTACCACCAGTTGGGGCCGTGAGGGTCTGAGGTTGCGGTATAGGCCGTGGCAGAGGTGGAGGTGCAGCCCGCACTGTAGCTAGGGCAGCACCAGCAAATCCACCAGCTGCCCCTGTTCAGGATCAGGTTCCGAGTGTAGATGCCCAAGGGGTACCAGCTTAGGCACCAGCTGTACCTATGGTTATTCCAGGTCTTCAATAGATATTAGCTTAGATTCTGACCAAGTACACCAGTCTTGCTCAAGCGGTCGCTGTTTTCACTACAGCAACTACTTCCCAAGTTGGGGGAGGCACTCAAACGTACGTTGCCTGCACATCCGAGAAGGTTGTTCAGGGGCTTCAGACGTCGGGGGCACCACCAGCCCAGCCGGTTGCGCCTGCTCAGGACTATGTGGTACCAGTCATGCCTAATGATGAGCAGCGTAGATTGGAGAGGTTTGGCAAATTTCAGCCTCTGACTTTTAGTGGTAGAGAGGGTGAGGATGCCTAGGGTTTCTTGGACAAGTGTCAAAAGATCCTCCATACAATGGGTATTCTAGAGACCAGTGGGGTCTCATTTACTACCTTTCAGATTTCAGGAGCTGCCTTTACTTGGTGGGAGGCTTATGATAGGTGTAGGTCTATTGGTGCAGCGCTCCTCACCTGGCAGTAGTTCTCCGTTCTTTTCCTAGAGAAGTATGTGCTGCACTCTAAAGGAGAGGAGCGACACAGACAATTCGAGCAGTTGCGTCAAGATGATATGACTGTGATGCAGTATTAGATAAGGTTTTCTGAGTTAGTCTGTCATGATGTTTGTTTGGTCCCTACAGATAGGGAGAAGACCAGGAGGTTCGTGGATGGCCTCGCTTAACAGCTACATATTCTGAGGACTAGAGAGAGAGATAGTGTTTGGTGCTTCTTTTGAGGAGGTGGTTGGCATTGCCAGATAGATAGGGTTAGTTCGCCGCATGGGGCAAGTTGAGAGGGAGACCAAGAGCCCTCGAGGATCTGGTAGTTTTGGTGGTGTTCCTCCTGGAGGTCAGTTCCAGCATAGTAGAGGTCGTCCATTCAAACATGCTCAGTCAGCTCGTCTAGGTCACCGTGGTGGATCATCTGGCCATGGTTCTCATAGCTCACATCAGGGCCACTCATCCCTCAGTTCCCTTCCAACTCAGAGTTTGACTCATGCACCATCAGTTCAGGGTTCATTTATGCCTGGTTCTTCTAGTGGGTATCCTGATGCTTGGGGCTCCCTTCAGTACCCATTTCCAGTAGCCGATAGAGATTCTGTCCCCGCCTTATAGGAGGTTCATCCCAGTAGAGGAGTCAGCCTTTGGCTTCAACACCAATTACTTTACCACCCGCTCAGCCAGCTCGGGGTGGAGGTCAGTCAGTTAGGGGTCACCCTAAAGGGGGAGGCCGATCAGGTGGTGGTCAGACCCATTTCTATGCACTCCCTGCCAGAACAAATGCTATTCCTTTAGATGTTGTGATCACAGGTATTATCTCAGTTTGCCACAGGGATGCCTCTGTATTATATGATCCTGGTTCCACTTTTTCATATGTATCATCATATTTAGTGAGAGATTTCCCAAATGTATTTTCTGCAGACCTGTCGGGCATGCCGCCAGACAGGGATATTGACTTTGGTATTGATTTGGTGCCGGACACTCAACCCATTTCTATTCTATCATATCATATGGCACCGGTGGAGTTAAAGGAATTGAAGGAGTAGCTTTAGGAACTCCTTGATAAGGGGTTTATTCGGCCGAGTGTGTCGCCTTGGGGTGAGCCTATTCTATTCGTGAAGAAGAAGGATGACACTATGAGAATGTGCATTGATTACAGGAAGTTGAACAAAGTCACAATCAAGAATAAGTATCCTTTGCCTTGTATTGATGATTTATTTGACCAGCTTCAGGGAGCAAGGGTGTTCTCCAAGATTGATCTCAAGTCAGGGTACCATCAGTTAAAGATTAGGGACTCGGACAATCTTGAGACAGCTTTCAGGACCTGATATGGTCATTATGAGTTCCTTGTTATATCTTTTGGGCTGACCAATGCCCCAGTAGCGTTCATGAATTTGATGAATAACATGTTTTAGCTTTATCTTGACTCATTTATTGTTGTATTCATTGATGATATTCTGGTGTACTCACATAGTCAGGAGGAGCACGCTGAGCATTTGAGAGTGGTATTGCAGCGGTTGAAGGAGGAGAAACTTTATGCAAAGTTCTCCAAGTGTGAGTTTTGGCCCAGACCGTCCTCAGCCACAGAGATTCATAGCTTTCTTGGTTTGGTGGGTTATTAACGTTTGTTCGTTCAGGGATTTTCATCTATTGCATTGCTTTTGACCAAATTTACCCAAAGGGTGCTCCTTTCAGGTGGTCAGATGAGTGTGAGGCGAGCTTTCAGAAGCTCAAGACCGCCTTGACCACAACTCATGTGTTAGTTCTGCCATCAGCTTCAGGTTCTTATGCAGTATATTGTGATGCTTCTCGGGTCGGCATTAGGTGTATGTTTATGCAGGAGGGTAGAGTGATTGCTTATGCTTCTCGTCAGTTGAAGCCCCATGAGAAGAACTACCATGTCTATGATTTGGAATTGGTTGTCATTGTTCACGCATTGAAGATTTGGAGGCATTATCTCTATGGTGTGTCTTGTGAGGTGTTTACTGATCATCATAGCCTCCATCACTTGTTGAAATAGAAGGATCTCAATTTGAGGCAGCAGAGACGGTTGGAGCTGCTAAAGGACTATGATATTACTATTTTGTATCATCCGGGGAAAGCCAATGTGGTGGCCGATGCCTTGAGTAGGAAGGTGGGGAGTATGGGTAGTCTTGAATTTTATTCTTGTTTGGGAGAGACCTCTGGCAGGTGATGTTGAGGCTTTGGCTAATCGGTTTGTGAGGTTGGATATTTCGGAGCCCACTCGGATCCTAGCTTGTGTAGTTTCTCGGTCTTCCTTTTTTGATCGTATTAGAGAGCACAAGTATGATGATCCTCATTTGCTTGTCCTCAAGGACAAGGTTCTGCATGATGATTCCAGAGATGTGACTATTGGTGATGATAGGGTGTTCAGGATGCAGGGTCGGATATGCGTGC